TCTGTCTAAACCACAAATGACCAGATCGCATGAGAGAGAAAGCAAAGATCTGTAGATAAAGGCCTACGATCAGACCACACCACACCACACCAGATCGCTCAAAGAGAGAGAGAGAGAGAAGAACTGGGAATGGGACTGAATGATGAAGAAGGAGTGGAGTGAGGTGTTAGGCGCTCGAACAGGACTCAGTAGACGATAGATTAGGGTTTTTTTAATTTTATATATATATATATATATATATAAATTAATTAATGCGGGTAGGGTAGGAATGTGAAAATTAATGGTCACATTCCTACCCGATTTAATCGAAAGACCAAAAACTCTCCCGCATTCCTACTCGATTCTTGCGGCTAACCGTTCAGTAGGGTCAGATAGAGTAAGAAATTGCGGTCAATTGAAAATTTGAACACCCCTAGGTGTGGGTAATACCTTGCAAAAGTGCTTCACTATTTATGATGAATTTAGAGAATTTTGGACGTGGTAAAAGAGCTTCCATTTTATGGAGATGTGATTCTTTAGCCATTTTCTAGGTGGCTTGGTTGTAGCATAATCGAAATTTTTTTGAAAGAAAGGTGGAGGAAAAAAATATTTATGAGAAAGAGTGAAATTTGTGGCTTCTCTTGGGCAAAGGTTACCAAGGATTTTTGTGATAACCGTTTGGCTGTTTCGCAACTTAATTGCAAGGTTGCTTGTAGTCATTAGTTTTTCTTTGTTTTTTTTGTTTTCTGAGTGGATTTCTTATCCACCATTTTCTGTAATTTTTTTTACATCTTTCATTCTATGAAATGAGAGTTTTGTTTTCTATCAAAAAAATAATAATAATAAAACTTGGATCTCTATCAATAAGTTCATACCTCTAAGGGAGAAGATGCACCGAACTAGATATTGAAAATTGAGAAATTATATTTCTGATCATGAAATATGATGAGAATGTTATCGAGCAATTGCTTGGTTTCAATTAAAAAATTAAAAATTGAGAATGTTTTCTTGTATTTACAGCAAATACAATTGCATGGTTTTCAAGACAGGCATTTGATAGGATAACTAAGCCCCAATTTCCACAATCATTTCTTGACAGGCTTTGGACCATTAGAAAAAGAAAGCTCGAAAAGCACTTGGAAAAATGCATGTCATTAACACAGTTATAAACAAGATTAGAGCACCAATTAAACAAACAGCCCTACTAGAAGTCTAGAATACCTGAATCTTTTGTGTACTTGTTTATTGACAGTGCCAAAATAAGTATCAGATGGAAGTTCAAACTTCAAACATCACTGCCGTGAAATCAATTTTAAAATTCGAAGACAAATAAAAGAGGTATAAAATTAACCATCAACAAAGCCCTAAACTTGTTTGGAAGCTTGCTATAGGTAAATGAAGTCAGGCAGAACTCGCAATTAACAACGCAAGAAAAGACCAGAATGTAATGAAACCTCACCTCATCCAAGTATCTCAAATGATGGGGAAATTGATGGTCCATCCTTTACAGAAAGCAATAAGCTCAACAAGGAGGAGGCTTAAATTGCACTATTATATACATAAATCCAGCAATTCTACTAAAACCTGGTCAGAACCTGGTTATAAGAGTTATTTCCTTAAATAAGTTGGATTTTTTATTGTCTGCATAAACTTATTTCTGCCTTGTAACATACGAAGTAAAAGTGAGTACAAATAATGTTCATACATTCAAGCAATAAAATTTATCCTTATGTTATTTCCATATCACAATACATTGTTATTGTATGGTATACGAGCATACAGTACAAAAAAGAAAAAAAGCAAAAGGAGTAAGAACACAGACTATCGTTAAAAGTACAATACCCAAGAATCTTCAATCCAGATCTTCTCTAGCGTGACTTCCTGTGTTTGAATGTGATTCTCCACTATTGTTCACACCATCATTCCCAGCAGCTCTGCTATTGCTCGTCTCTGCAGGCGACCCAAATGCCCTAAACGGCCAGGCAATGGTAGCCTAAACCTACGTTCCACCGTCCTTGACATCGGAGGAGAATTCTCCTGAGAACCCCCTCCACCAACACCAGTACCTGAATTACCACTACCACCACCTCTGCCCACCCACCCCGGACCTGAATTACCACTACCAACACCACTTCCCATCTGCTGAGTTCCTCGAGTTCGATTCTGGTAATCCATATCATCTGTCGGCAATTCATGCCGACAAACTGGACAAGAATTATGCAACTCTAACCATGGTGTAATGCAATCCTTATGGTATATATGTCTACAAGGAATTTGTTTGACCTCCTCGTGAATTTCAAAACCATCTTTACAAACAGCACATTGTGAGGAATCCGATGCCAACAATTCCTGTGTGATCTTTATATTCGGAAGCCCTTCAATTACAGACTTTGAAGCCGGAGGAGTCCCGTATCTATTCGGATCGTTTTCAGCCAATTGTTGAATCAGTTGCTCCAGCCCCGGTCCGACGAAGTAGTCGCCGAGGTTGGTCGGAAGCTGAAACCCCATGGAATCGCCGCCGGCGACTGAAGGGTTCCCCTCGATGACGAGAATGTTGGCCCCACTGGCTCGAAGGGTGTTGAAATAGTTCTGTAGAACTGCAAACGGGTTATATTCGTTGGGACCGACCCATCGGTTGGTGGGACCGCCAAAAAGAGTAGAGAAATCATCCATTCCGCCACCGGTGCCACCGCCAGGGGAGGTGGTAGAGAAGACCATAGGGAAGCCGGGGAAATTGTCGGAGGAGAAGGGAAGGAATGGGTTAGGGTTAGGGTTAGGGTTAGGGTGAGTGTTTGGTGGGTTGGGTTCGGATTCTTCTATGAAGCCACCGTTGCATAGGGGGCAAAGGAGGTCGGAGGATGGCAAAGGGGTTAAGGTGACAGTACGATTGCATTGGTGGCAGAAGTAGAATTGAGGGGCGGCACCGCCACCTGGACCACCGCCATCGCCACTACCGAAGTTGCCGAGCGACGAGGACATGCTTTTTTGTTTATGTTTTTTTTTTTTTGGCTTTTTTCCTTGTGTTTGGAGAGAGGGTTCAACGGGATCGAACAGGCGCGATGGATGCTGTGTGCGGGAAAGGGACGTAAGTGTACCGAATCGGGGCGGGGGTGCCTAATTTCTTACCGCTTAAAAAAATTATATTCATCTCCATTTAAAAAATATCATTTATCGCCGCTCTATCCCGTTAACGGTTATAATATTTATTTCTATCTCTGTTCGCTGATAAATTTTTAATTTCCAACTTTTCCATATCCGTCCAAGCCCAAACCCAAGTGCAAGCCTTTCTACCGAAGTTAAATCAAGTGAAATATTTTCAATAGATCTTTTTCACTCAAGTTAAAGAACATTTTTCTAAGTTGGGGCAATTCCATGTTAAATAAAAGATAAGAGGAAAAAATTTATACAATCTCAAGGATAAAAAGAAGAGGTTACGTATAAAAGGTACTCATGCGTCCCCATGCAAAAGGTATATCATTGTCAACTATATTGTAACATAGCACACAATAGCCAGAGAAAGGAGTGTAATAAAATAGTAGATCTCTAGACTAGACAGGAATGAGGCATCAAGATGGAACTCAAACTTGCATCACTCTATGGTGTCATTGATTAAGCAATAAAAAACCATGCCTTTTTCAGCCTTTTACTATAGACAGAAAATGTGATTATTGTGTGAACATAACATGAAAACGATTATCAAATGATCATGATCAAATGATGTCAGAACCATGCATTATTGTCAACCAGACAAATGGGTCCACTACTCCATTAAAGCACTTGAACAACCTGCAGCAATCTAGACCAAAATGGATGCAGAACATAACATGTTGTCACATATAATGGCAAGGTGTGTTTGATGCAACTAGAGGATAATTCAATTGGGCTTAAGTAAGCTTCTATTTCTTTTTATTAACACTTTTTTGTACCCCTTTGGCATAAGTCATTTATCTATCAAGAAGAAAAAAATACAATGAAACATGTAACGGGTATCGGGGACGGGGCAGGAGCGGGGGTAAGGGTAAGTTCATCCCTGCTTTCATTCTCGTACGGATTTATACAAGTATCTCCATATACGTCCACCATTCAATACGTATAGTCCATCCCCGGTCAAAAAAATGTGGGTTTAGACGAATTCTCAATTTTCCCTGGTCCGCTACCATCTCTAGTGCGGGACTTCAAAGAAAGTGAGAGGCACGTGGTGTTAGAAAAAGTGGCGTGTAGATAAATTAGCCTGGTACTCGCTTTTAGCTCGAAGTTAAGGATAAATTCCATCAATAATCTTTGAAGTTTACCAATTGTTGAATATTTGTCCTTAAATTTTTAATTTTCTTAATTTAGTCGTCAAATGTCACTCATTGCATTAATGTCCTTTACACTAACTTCCGTCCAAATCATTAGAGAAAAATATCCCATGCTAAGCATGTGACCGATATAAAGGGTAATTAAATTCTTACTCCTAGGCTACGTCCAAACACCTTTATTCCTTTTTCGAACAATTCTAAATCAAAACCCAAACAAACTATTTCTTCTTCTCCTTACCTCTCCTCACACTCTCTCTCTCATAAAAGTCACCAAACCCAACAACACAAACACCACACTATCTTTCTCTCTCTACGCAAAACACTCACCAAACCTAGAAAACAACACACATACACATATGGACACGCACGCACACTTTCTCTCGCGCAATCACTTAATCTACCAGGTAAAAACCCAATTCCCATCCAATTTACAAACAAATATGAAATCAAAATCACAAAATGAAAGTACTCATGGTGGAGAGTGGAGTCACATGGTAGTGGTGGAGGTTGGGGGATGGGTGATGCGTAGTGTATGTGTGTGTATGAACTCTGTGTGTGTGAGAGAGAGAGAGAGAGAACCATGGAGAGAGTCAGGAATTAGTTGTGGTGATGGGCAACTGTAGAAGTCGTCGGGTTTCCTTTGAAGAGCTCTTGTGTTACAAATTATATATATGTGTGTGTGTGTGTAATATATATATATATATATATAATATTCTGTTTAATTATTTATTTTACTTATGATATTACATTTTCACCCTTTATTCCTTAAATAGAATCACGTGCCAAGGCTTTTTCCTTGTTCTACCAAGATGAACTAAAGAGCATGAGGGAGATTGGATTACTTATTCAATTATTAACCGCAAAGCTTTCTACGAGGAGCCCCCATAAGTCACAATCTATTTTTTCGTCAATGATGTAAATAGAAGTTAGTGCAAGGGATTACATCAGTGCAATAGCTGAACTTTGAGGATTAAATTGACAAAATTAAAATTTTAAGTGCTAAAATTCAGTTAGTGGTAAAACTCAGGGATTATTGTGCAATTTACCCTAAAGTTAATTACTAAAGTACATCAAATTTGAAATTTATATACCAGAAGTTTTGATCTTATTTATTAAATTACGACAATTTTAAAAAAATTATCGTAATTTAATAAATAAGATCAAAACTATCGTATCTCGGTATATATGTTTTAAATTTGTCGTATTTTGATAATTAACTCCACTATAATGCCGAAAAGTCTGAAACCCATCACATCGGTATAGAAAGAAAATGAGGATGATATATTTTGTAATCAATTTTCTAGAACCATTAATCATCAATTTGTAGCATTTATTATTATTATTTGGGTAGGGTCCCTCTTATCCTTAAAATATTCATTTTCACCCCATTTTCACATACACCCTACTCAAAATTATTTGTTACTTTGTTCTATAATACATCTAATTCAAGAAAGATTGCGAACTTCTCAAAGTCGGCAAAAGAGTTATGGGGATAAAAGAAGAAGACCTTTGGAGTTTAAGGTGGGTGATTTTGTGTTTCTAAAAGTGCCACCTAAGAAGGGAGTTCTGCGTTTGGCAAGAAAAAGAAGTTAACTACAAGATACACTGGACCTTTTGAAATAATTCGAGTAGCAGGGAAAATGGCTTATCAAGTCAACATCCCCACTTAGTTGTTGGGAGTGTATGATGTGTTTTACGTATCTATGCTACGGAAGTGTGAACCTAATACGACACACGTGGTGGATTTAGCAGCAATTGAAATTCAAGAAGGAGTAACTTATGAAGAGCAATCAGTAAGAATTATTTAAACCAAAGAGAAAGTGTTTCGCAACAAAGTAATTGTATTGGTGAAGGTGTACTGACAACACTATGGAGTAGAGGAAACTACATGGGAATCAGAATTAAAGATGTGAGAGAAGTACCCACACCAATTCTCTATTTGAGGTAAGTTTTGACAGCGAAACTTTCTTTTAAGGGGGTGAATTGTAGACCCCTGTGTATTTATAACTATATATATATTAAGTCCTATGTGTGGCATATATAAATAATGAGTTAGGGATAAGTTATATAGGTTATCTTAGAAGATATTAGGTATGTTGGATCTTATACTCATCATTGGGAGAAGTTAGAAAGAGAATAACTAGATATTGTTTTACTATTTTACCTCTAACTTTTTAGTTTGACATTAGATTGACCTGAAATTTTGACATACAAAACTAGATCCCAAGAGCTACAAAAGTCTATTTCACATGAATTTCGTCAATCGACTTCTAACTAGGTCAATATTCATTAGAACTTTCGTACAAGAATTTGAGTTACGTTCAAAAACAAAGTAAAGTTATAGTACTTTGGTGTCCAACAAAAATTGAGTTACTAGGAGCAAGACACGTTGAATGTATGTCACATTCGATCAAGGCACGTTAAAATGCAAATCATGCTCGAAGTGCAATTTTTTCAGTGATTAGGCTCGCGTCGACTATTCGAAGGGATTTTCGCATAAAAAATGAATCAAAGTGTTGGCTCCACCAAACTATAGATTCAAGGTAGGGAATTCTTGCTCAAATTCACTCATTGAGAGTTTGGGTTTATAATATATACATATTTTATTCCTATTTAAGTAAATGTGATCGATTGATCATGTTTTTATACTTCTTTGGATAATATTAATTATTTTCAAAAGAATTACATGTTTTTACTTTAAAAATCGCATGTTCTTGAGAAAAACCCTAGAATTTGATTAATGTCTATTGTTCTGGGAGGGCGAACTTGATATGGATCCTCCCTCACGATTATACATGTGGAGACTAAGACACTATATTTAGAGGAGGGTAAATAGGTTTTTGAAAAATCTATATCTACCAAAATTACTTTTTCTCAATCCAATGTAAAAATTAACGATGAGAACCTCTTTTACACACCACAACTCTTGACACACATGATGATTTAAATTAATTTTTAATTAATTCACTCGTAATCAATCTCATGTCTATCCTAAATCCCAAACCCAATATGCACAACTATGAGTGGATGAATCTTCAATAAATCAAAATCACAAACATATAGTGTGCATGTGTGCTTACAATTACAAGTGTATATGATAAACAAAAAATAACACAAGTGATTTGTTGAGTGGAAAACCCTCATCAGGAAAAAAACACAAGAAACCTTCTTGATTTATCAAAGTCTAATCAACTACTCTCTAAGTCAACATACAAGTACTCGAGACTTATACCTCAATAAATATCATGGTTAAATGTTCATTTTCTTCCTATGTCTCTCTGTCGAAAGTCCCTTTTCGACGTCTATTATAGTTTCACTTGGACCTCCCCTATCGCATGGTTTATCTAGGCATTGAGCGATTATGAGCACACCAACAATCCTTGATATGCACACATCAATGGGATTATAGAACCATCAAGATCTTCAACTTCAATTTATGAGGTTGGGTAGAATCTCTAGTGCTAGCCTTTTGGATCTTAAGGATTTAGGTTGTGGTGGAAGCTCTCAAAGTAAAAGAATAAATTTTTTTTTGAATTCTTAACCTAGGTGTGGGAAAGGTTCTCCCTATATATAGGTCCAAAATAAGAGTAGTCTTAATAAATAAGAAAACTCAGATTTGCGAACAACCACTCGATTGATGGGAAGACAGTCATATGGCAATTGTCACTTGAATAAAAACAACATTTCAAACATGACTAAAGCAAGCCCTGCTCGAGCGAGCCCTGTGCTGCCTTCTATGGCATTTTCCCATTTTCTTCCTAAGTCATAAACAGACCACTCTAGCGAAAGCTAGTGAGCATAGATTGACCCCTATAAGTTTTTCAACATAAAACCATACAAAATATTATCCTCTTGAGCACTAAAGGGTGTTACTCAATAAGGGGTCCAATTGTGACTCAAACTATGTTTTCAAAACTCATAAATAATTTTAAAAAAATAATTTTAAAATCACCTAGGACTCATAATCAAATTGCTTCCAATTCCATTTTCATCCTAATTAATTTAAGTTAGAATAACTAAGGGTTAATCTTAAATGTCTAGGTTATTACCTTTGTCTTAAGCATGAAGGTGCATACAGAGGTTGAATGATGTAGTTTTGATGCTTGATCTCTCCCCTTCAATGACTCTTTCTAATCTTGAACTTAATAGCATCATGACCATGGAATAGGTTGAGATTTTACAATGGACTCCACAAAATTAGTTAATTACAAATATGATCAACAATCTCCCCCTTTTAGCACTTTTGTGACAAAATACACAAGTTAGAAATTAAGATTACAACTCAAAACTATTGAACAAAAGAATTGTAAAGTAATCTCAACTCTCATGCATACATCTTAAATTTCTATCTAGTACAAGGATCTACTTCTTTTGATGAAGTTTGAAGATCGTAATCCTGCACATTACCACTTAAACCAAAATCTCGTGAAACACATCATATATTAGAGAAATACATAACATAATCACAGGTTTGGAAAGCACCAAGATAAACATAGAGCATAAATATGTATAAATCAATTGCAAAAATGTAACATTTTAGAAACTTACTTGCCCAATATGCTTGAGAACCTATTGATATATCACTATGAAGCACATCAAGTTCTCCCCCTTAGTTGGTCTTCATACGTAAACTAACAAGTGAAAAATAAACAAAGAGAAAATGTGTGACTTTATGCCTAGTTTGTAAATTTAGTCTCCCTAAGTATTTAAACAAACTGCCTCTTTCTATGTTAACATGCAACATATCTAGCCTAGTCAAAAGTAAATGCAATGTACACTATAGTGACCATGCTCTTCACAAGTAAAACACATAAATGATTTGGTTTATGTATTCTTTTTAAATGCCTTATTTTCATGCTTACCTTTACCATTCTTAGTCTTTTTGGTACTTGTGCTTCCTTGTGGGGGTATAGGGTTGAGATCACCCATTACAAACATGGTCTTGGAAGAAGTGGAGTGTTGTGTTCATTAGTGAACCCTAATCCTCTTTTGTCACCAACACTGTTCCATATAGCCGACATTTTTTCAAGCTTTTTGGTGCTTTGGGAAAGTCTTTCAAGAGGTCTCGTGATTCATGTAGATCAATACTAAGTTTGATGAGTTTAAATTCAAGACCTTTCTTAGACTCTAAATCCCATTGTACTCTCTTTCAAGGTAGCTCACATTGTCATAGAGGGACTTTTTCTCCTCCTCAAGCACAACAATATGAGCCTTGGACTTAACTAAGTCCACATGAAGTGCTTTCTTTTCATCTTCACTCATTTTGAGCCTAGTGCTCAATGAAAGCAACTTGTCACCTTGTTTGAGAACTCCTAATATAACTCGTTATAAGCATTTTGGAGGTCCTCAACACTCTCGATCTCATGTTCACTAGTAGAGACTTCTATAACTAAGTCATCTATATTCATAGTGGGACTAGACTCAACTTATTTTTTCTCAATCTTGGAAGTTTCTCATGGGGGGGGGAGGGGAGGAGTGTGCACCTACAAAAGCCGTGAAGTGTTCTTCATCACTTGACGAAGAGGAGTCAACACTCATTATGGACTCACTTTCGATTTCACTCACCTTAGCCTTTAAGGCTCTTCTCTTCTCCTTGAGCATGTCATTCTTTTTAGCACTAGGACATTCTGTAGCTACATGTTTAAATCCATGAAACTCGTAGCATTGGAGACATTGCCTCTTTTTCTCAACCTTGTTTCAAGAAGATCTACCCCCACTTTATTTTCCCTTTCTAGGAGCCTTGGGTCTACTTGGATTTATTTTCGACCTTGAGGACTTGACACTACTAACCTTAAAATATTTATTAAATTTTCTTGCAATATAGGTTATGTCCTTTTCTCTTAACTGGAGTGACCTAGTTTTACCTCCTTCTTCAATTTTAGAATTTAATGTCATGCCCATCACTTTCATAGGTGGAAGAAGGTTCATCTCAAAAGTCAAAATTGATTTTACTAGGTCTTCGACCGGTACCAAGGCTATGTTGATACTCGTCTTGAGTGAGGTCACCTTAACATGAAATCTCTCTGGTAGAGATCGTAAGATTTCCACTTAATGGGAGCATCATTGACTTTGGTACCTAATGCAAAGAAAGAATTAACAATATCACATAACTTGGCATAAAAGTCACCAAAAGTTTCTTCCTCTTGTATCCTCATGATCTCAAATTTTGTGGTGTACCTTTGGAGACAGGCATCTTGATCATTTTAGTTCCTTCATGAGAATCCACAAGAATATCTCATGCCTCCTTCAAAGTCTCGCACTTCATGATCCTTCAGAACTCTTTTGGTGTCACGACATTGCATATCGCATTCAAGCCTTTTGAGTTCCACCCTATCGAGTTGATCTCAATTTTTTACCAAGTTGTTGGGAATTTTAATTCAAACACTGCTTCAACACCTTCAATTGGCGTGGTGTGGTAGGAGGGCTCCAACCCTTTTCACGCTTAACCATACTCTCTCATCAATTGATTTTAGAAATGCTCTCACGCGAGCTTTCCATTAAGAAAAGTTTGAACCATCAAAGAGAGGAGGTCATTCAATTGAACCACCTTCCTTTTGAGAATCAACTCAAAACTAACTAGCAGTAATGATATGTTTCTCGAAGGTAAACTAGACCAATAAGCAAAAATAAGATATGCCTACTTAGTGTCTTATGATCTATGGGCAACCATGCTCTGATACCAATTGTTGTTATAAGAGGGTGAAACTAGTATGGATCTTCCCTCATGATTATATACATGGATACCAAGACAGTATATCTAGAGGGGGAGGGTAAATAGGTTTTTCAATTATAGCCCAAATTGATTACCAATTAAAAACCAACATCTACCACAATTTCCTCTTCCAAATCGAATGTAAAAATTAATGATGAGAACCCTTTTTACAAACCACAACTCATGACACACATGATGATTGAAGAAATTAATTTTCAATTAATCTGCTCGTAATCAGTCTCACATAGATCCCAAATCCCCAAATCTTATATGCACAACTATGAGTGGATGAATCTTCAATCAATCAAAACCATAAACAGATAGTGCGTGTGTGTGCTCATAATCACAGTATATATAATAAACAGCAGATAACACGAGTGATTTGTTGACGTGGAAAGCCCTCATCGGAAAAAACTGTTGGGAATCTTCTTGGTTCATTAAAGCCTAATACATTACTCGCTAAGTCAACATACAAGTACTTGAGACTTATAATTTAACCAATACCATATTTAGATGCTTCTTTCCTTGTCTGTCTCCCTATGGAAAGTCCCTCTTTGACATCTAGTGTAGCTTCACTTGGACATCCCCACCGCATAGTTCCACTTTTGTCACCTACACTTTTCCCTATAACCAACAATTTGTCAAGCTTTACGGTACTTTGGGAAAGTCTTTTCAAGAGCTCTTGTGATTCATGTAGGTCTCTACTAAGTTTGATGAGTTTAAATTCAAGACTTTTCTTAGACTCTAAAAGCCCATTATACTCTCTATCAAGGTAGCTCACCTTTTCATAAAGGGACTGCTTCTCCTCCTTAAGCCCAACAATATGAGCCTTAGATTTAACTAAGTCCACATGAAGTGCTTTTTTTTCATCTTCACTCTTTTTGAGTCTAGTGCTCACTGAAAGCAACTTCTCACCTTGTTTGAGACACTCCTTATATAACTTATTATAAGCATCTTGGAGGTCCTTAACACTTTTGGTCTCATGCTCACTAATAAAGACTTCTACAACTAAGTCACCTATATCTATAGTGGGACTAGACTCAACTTCTTTTTCCTCAATCTAGGAAGTTTCTCGTGGGAGGGGGAAGGAGTGTGAATCTACAATGGCCGTGAAGTTTTCTTCATCACTTAACGAAGAGGATTCAACACTCGTTGTGGATTCACTTTTGCTTTCACTCACCTTAGCCTTTAAGCCTCTTCTTTTCTCCATGGGCATCTCCTTCTTTTTAGCACTAGGACATTCTACAGCTACATCTTCAAACCCATGACACTCGTATCATTGGAGATCTTACCCCTTCTTCTCAACCTCGTGTCGAGAAGATCTATCCCCACTTTCTTTTTCCTTTCTAGGAGATTTGGTCTACTTGGATTTCCTTTCGACCTTGAGAACTTAACACCACTAACCTTAAAATATTTATTGAATTTTCTCACAAGAAAGGTTATGTCCTTTTCTCTTAATTGGAGTGACCTAGTTTTACCTCCTTCTTCAATTTTAGAATTTAATGCCATGCCATTCACTTTCTTGGATGGAAGAAGGTTCATCTTAAAAGTCAAAATTAACTCTACTAGGTCTTTGATCGGTACCGAGACCATGTTGATACTCGTCTTGAGTGAGGTCACCTTAACATAAAATCTCTCTGGTAGAGATCTCAAAATTTTCCACTTCATGGGAGTATTGTCGACTTTGGTACCTAATGCAAAGAAAGAATTAAAAATATCATATAACTTGGCATAAAAGTTGCCAAAAGTTTTTTCCTCTTGTATCCTCAACATCTCAAATTATGAGGTGTACCTTTGGAGACGGGCATATTGATCATTTTAGTTCCTTCGTGTGAAACCACAAGAATATCCCATGCATCCTTCAAAGTCTCCCAATTCGCGATCCTTCAAAATTCGTTTGGTGTCATGACATTGAATATCACATTCAAGCCTTTTGAGTTCCACCCTATCGAGTTGATCTTTGATTGTTACCAAGTCATTGGGGATTTTAATCCAACCTTTTTCACACTTAACTATACTCTCTCATCAATCGATTTTAGAAACGCTCTCATTTGAGTTTTCCAATAAGAAAAGTTTGAACTATCAAAGAGAGGAGGTCGTTCAATTGAACCACCTTCCTTTTGAGAATCAATTCAAAACTAACTAGTAGTAATGATAGATGTCTCAAAGGTAAACTAGACAAGTAAGCAAAAATAAGATTTGCCTACTTAGTGTCTTATGATCTCAGGGCAACTATGCTCTAATACCAACTGTTATTCTAGGAGAGTGAACCCAATACTAGAATTGTTGAACCAGTTGAATGAGATACTAGTTAGGCTTGAACCTATTGAAGGGTACTTGCAACTGGTTGAACGATGAACCGGTTGAACTTGAACTGGTTGAATAGTGTTCAGAACATGGGGTTGAACCTATTCAACAGGTTTAACATATTCTAAAACTTTAGCTATTTGTTGTGGTGTTCTAGGCTTCCATCCAACTTTTCTAAAAACATATTGATGCATCTAATAGAACTCAAATAAGTTACTTATGATTTTTATTGCTTACAATTACAAGAATTAAGGATTAAATGTTGGATTGAAGTTGGTAAAGTGGGTAATTGAAGATAAATGTTTAAGGTGGTTAAAAGTACATCACTTGGGGAGGAAATATGTTGACGTGGGCATGAATACGAAGTCATACATGCATAATTAAGATAAAATTCATATGTGAAAGTATTTATATGTGGTAGGAACGTAGGTGTCGACCCCTATGTCAAGTACGCTTAAAGTCTTAGTTAGAGACCGGGTTTGTACTATAGTTGGACTTGAGGTGGGTGTATTTTCTGTCTTGTATGAATATGCTTTAAATGCTATAGAATGTGTGATGTTTTGAATTATTGCGTATGATTGGTACTGTATATGAGCTATATCAGTTATTGACAATAGTAAGAGAACGACTAAACTTATTGGTATATAAACGTTTGAGTAAAGGGTGTTGTGAATGCTAAATGAGTATGTTATATAATCTTACTAATTGAGATAGCTTTAAAGGCTAATTTCACCTGTAGTTAATTGATGATTGTATGGAATGTTGTTTGGTGAGGACAACACTATGATATGTTAGTGTTGTGGATATGTTAAGTGGCCCTACTATCAATGAATTCTACAATGATAGCTATTCGGTATGTGGAGGCAAATATGATGAAAATGATAATTATGTAGCTTGTGTGGCGGACATTGCCTGAGCGGTGGATATTGCATGTATGGCGAGTGTTGCTTGTATGGCAACAATGATTTGAGTGATGGAATTTGAATATTCCTATTGGAAGCTTTGATGGATTTATATGTTATGAATTGACTACTAGAGATTTATGAGAGCTTATATATATTGTCTGATTAAATTATTCAGTTATTTTGATAAGATGAATACTAAAGTTTGTGATACTCACCATTGTTGTTATCAGTTTATTGATTGTATACACTCACTGAGCAAGTGTGCTCACCCCGCCTTAGTTTCTAATTTCAGGTAAATGAAGAGGAAAAGATGTACACTGCTAAGTCTAGGTGGTAAAAGAGGAAATGAGGTTACTGTGTCTTGTTGTCATTTTCAATAATTGTTGAGTCTTGTAATTTGGGGAAAATAAACTTTGCATCCAACTATGATTTAAAAGTACTATTACATTTTCCTGGTATGCTGTGATAATAAAAGAATAGAAGTTATTTTGTTGTATCTGGACGGTTTAAATTAGTTGTTTTAAAGTAAATATATGTACAGCGTACAGGTGTGAGTCAAGGGGTGGGATCCACTTTACCGGTTTTGGACATAATGTTCTATCTCTGGGTTGGGGTGTGACATCTTTACCTCTCCAAACTCTTTTAGGAATATACCCATCCAAAGGAGTTGACGAATAAAGATTAATCAAATCAATATTTGTCCTCATCGCCTCACCCCAAAAAGATGTAGACAATGTTGCATAACAGAGCATACACCTGATTCTCTCACAAATCATTTTGTTCATTCTCTTTACTACCCTGTTATGTTGTGGGATCTTTGGAAAAATCTTCTCAAGTCTGATATAATGATTTTTGCAATACCCTTCAAAGGTTCCCCAGTATTCACCACCATTATCTACTTGGACACACTTTAGTTATCTTCCTTTCTCTCTTTCAACTTTCATATGAAAAGATTTGAATACAACAAGTACCTAGTCTTTAGTTTTCAAAGAATATGTCCACACTTTTCTAGAGTGATCTCAATAAAAGTCACATAATATTATGCAACACCCAGAGATTTTGCTTTCACAAAGCATACTTTAGTATGAACTAAATCCAAAACATTATATTTTCCAAAGGGAGTAAATTTAACAAATGCAACTCTATTTTGTTTTCCAACAAGACAATGAGTACAAGGCTATAGTGGCATACTTCTAATGTCAAGTAGGAGTTGTCATTTAGCAAGAATCTGAAGTCCCTTCTCAGACATGTGGCCAGGTCTCCTATGTCATACCTCTGTGGAATAATCATGCTTAACTACATTCACACCACCCTTGATTATATTTACCTCTGTCTTGTAGAGAGTGCTAATCTTCTTTCCGTTGGCTAAGATAAGAGAACCCTTTCTAAGTTTCCATTTTCCATCACTCGGGTGATTATGATAGCCTTCATCATCAAAATTTTCAATAGAAATCAAGTTGAAGCTCATCTCTAGAACATTCCTGACATTCTTGAGAAGCAATTTACAGTCAATGCTCGTTCCAAGCAAAAATCTCTAATGCCCACAATCTTGCACTTTGCTTCATTTCCATCTTAACCCAACCAAAGTCACTGTGAAATAAGAAGAGAAGAAATCTCTATGCACAGTAATATGAAAAAAAAAGTTGATGTATCAATTACCCAAGTCTTGTCTTGCAAGATTAGCATAAGCACCATCACAAACAATAATCATACCAGCCTCATATGCACTACTGCAGTGTTATGTCTATCTTCACCTATTTCTTGAGATTGGTCTCGTTTCCACTTTTGGCACTCTTTCTTATAGTGCCCAAGCACTATAAGAAACAACAAACAACAATCCACTGTTAGGCAACCATCTCATCCATTGGGATAGACTAATCTCTAACACTCTACGACAGCTCTCCAAGGCAATTCAAGTCCATCATAACAAACCATTCAAGAGATGAAACCAAAATTTTTCAACAACCACAATCTTAACCAATCACAATTTTCATTAACAATTCAAGTATCACAGTTGCTTAATTCTCAATATACTACCGTAATAAAGGAATTAAAATATGCAAGAAATCATATCAAGAAAACCTTCATAATTTTGATATCAAAATTCTAGGATTTTTCCAAAATATCACAACTTTTTTGGAAGAAGAACAAGTATTATATGAAAACATAATCTAATTAAGAATAGGAATTTAAAAATCAAGATCCATATGAATTTACAATAGAACATGTATTTTGGAAAAACTAGGATTTTGAAAATTCAAAAACAAGTATTTCTTGAACCCAAACAAGTATTTTGTTCAAGACCATGTTCCAATGATAAAGAAACCAAGACCTCATACATATTTATCATATAATTATCAAGAAGATTGAAAAAATACATATAATACCCTAAGTCTCAATAAAAGAACTGAAGAAGAATCCCCTACCTTGATTCCATAGTTTGTGTGTAAACCTAGCATGTTTGATCCATTCCAATGTGAGAATCCCTTTGAATCTTGTGTTTCTCCTTTCTCTCGCTCTCTAGGGTTGCCTAGAGTTGAAAACTGATGAAACATGGCTAAAAGGACGTCCTTATGGTATTTATAGGGTGAAAAACGGGAAAAACAATCCTAAAACTGACCGAGGCCTTTTTAGGGTAGCGTCCGGACGCTATTTAGGCATCCCAATGGTGCAAATTCACTGTTTTGGATGAAAAAAAAACAAGATTTTAGGGTAGGGAGGGGGCGTCTGGACGGTGCTTGGGGCGTTCTGATGGTGGCAACTTTCTGTCCCAAGTTCAACAGTAGTTTT